GTAAAAACTTCAATCATGTGGAAAAAATGAATGATAGAAGATTCAAGATAGACAAACAAACATTCTTTGCACAGCATATAGTCAGCATATGGAAGTACTTTCCCTGAGATGTAGCAATGGTTACCAAGCTGGACAGCTTTAAAAACGGATTAAACAATTAATGGAGGATAATACAATTAATGATGCTTGTATGCTTCTTTCAGATCTGAGATAGCATGCCTCTGACTGCTACTCATTGGGGAACAATAGTAGAGAGAGAGAGACTGTTGCTTTCATGGCCTGTTTACAATCCGTATTCCCACAGGAACTATAGGCACAGGATGCTACAGTAGGCAGCTTTTTAGCTTGATCCAGCAGAGTTGCATTTAATAGTACATTAACAAAATAATGTTCATCTAAATTGAGCCATGTGTTTTAAAAGGAAGCTATCACAAAATTAAGAGCGATGAAGTACTCTATCACGATTATTATATTAATGTTGTTTTGGGAAGAGATGCATTCATGGTTCTCTTCGTACAAACGTACAAAATATTTAGTCAAAGGTAAGTCAAATCAACCAGAATCTCTCTCATTCTAATTATTATGCCTTCCTGAGAGATCTGCACATATGTTGTCAACGCAATCTGTCATAAATCAAATGACTGCACGTTTGCTCTAATAGTGGAAATATGTGAGATGATTCTGAATGCTAATCTGACTTGCATTTCAGGGATTTCCAAAAAGTGAGAACATTTAAGCCTGAGTTTGTGTCTTGTCTTAGCTCTCACACAAAAGTTCAAAGTTGGACTTCCGGTTTGAAGGGCTTCGGTGACAGACAGAAATCCGCAATTGTGTGCGGTTTCTGTCTGGGCTCGCCGCTGGAGTGCCCCGAGCCGGCTGGTTTCGGGGCTAAGCCACCCCGTAGAGGTGTTGAAGAGGGGGGAGACCACCAGCAGGGTTGAGGAGAGCCGCATCTCTCCTCCTCAGCTGGCCATTACTCCCTTTCCCAAAGGCGGTTGTAGCGGTGGTCAGAAATGACCACCACAAAGGAGAACTCAAACGGAAAAGAATGTGCAGGAGGAAGATAAGTGGAAGTTTTGGCTGACCGGGTTAAATTGTAAAAGCAACAACTAAGGTACCCTGGAATTTAAACTTACAAAAAATAACATTGCTCCCAAAGAAGAGTTGGAAGCAGCAAAGGAAAGTGAAAAGGGAAAGGTTTGGCTTTTTTCTCTCTCTTTCTCTCTCCTTCCCTATACTGACAACTAAGAGACTTAAATAAGAAATTGGAAAAATCCGCTTTGGCATCAATAGACAATTAAGCTGAAAATAAAACAAAATGCCAAAGGGATAATAAAGATTTCTGGACATTAAAATTTTTCTTTTTCATAAGCAGGAAGGGAGAGAAAAAGAATAAGGGCAGGATCTGGAAGAGGGAGGAGACTGCCTGGAATTAAAAAGAATCTACAGTAAAACTTCAACAAGACTTCTAAAAGATACATTTTAACTGAAACTTTGCAACTAAATAGTAACCCCAGGAAGAGAAAGTGAATAAAAAGAGCAAAAAAAGAAACAGCTTGCGTGTATTTGGATTATTTGGTGATCTTTGGATTCTTGGTTATTATATTTGAATGACTAAAATCAATCGGGTGGTTGTTTAAAAATTTATACAATGGCACCACTTCTGGATGAATTGAAAATGGAGCTTAAAAAGTACAAAGAAGATGCACAAGAAGGGAGGGGTTCTTTTGGCTTCATTTTTCAATTGTTAGAAATGGAGATTTGGAACTATGAGAAACAACAAGAAACGACTGCAAAACAAGAAGACTGGGACAAAGAAGAAGCCATCTTTAATGAACAAGCAATTTATGTGGGGAAGAAAAAGGAAAGGAGGGAAAGAGAGTGGAGAATTTAAGACTTAAAAAAACAACCAAAGAATTGAGATGAGATAATTAAAATAAAATTGAGAAAATTTAAAGAGGGGAGAAGCTATGCAGAAAATGTAAAATAGTAATAAGATATGGAATAGAATATAAAAATGAGCATGAACCTGAATTTGTGTCTGTACGAAGAAATGTAACCCGGGATTATGCTGCTTTCAAAAAAGATGTTTTATTTGTATTTTTTTTTCTCTTTGTGAAAACTCAAATAAAATTTACAAAAAAAAAAAAAGTTCAAAGTCATATTATCTTAGATTTAAACAAAAGCAAAAAAAAAGCTGTCCCAAAGCATTTTGAACAAAGGTAAAAGGACCAGATTATCTGGGTAGTCATAAGAAGGGATGAATTCGAAGTATAGAATACTCTTGTCAGTCTCTTACAGATATTGTTTCAACACTTGAAAGTTCTTAGGTTGAGATCTCCAGCCAGTCACAAGTGGCACTGGTCAAGGCTGATTGCAGATGCAATCCAACGGTCTATTCCCAAGGTGTTACTCAAAACAGCCTGTCACTTTTCCATCTCCCTTATGTTTTTTGACTGTCAGTGTTGACTTGAAGATCATATTACTGTGTCAAGATGAGTATCTAGATTTACAAGTCGGAATGGAAAAAGCCAGTTCAGTTGAGCCTCAGAGCTTGAATAGATTAGGTTCACTAGTTTAGTTAGTTAAACACTTTATTGTATTTAGCTAGTGGAAACTAGTGTGGTTATACTTGTATATTTGATATAAATTTGAAATTAGTAATAATACTATGTACATTTCTGTCCAGGATTCCTGCTTGGCCACCCTTCTCTCCTCCAAGGTATTTGGATTATTGTACCCTGCTCTGTACATGAGGCTGCCTTTTAAGAGACAATTCAGAAACTACAGGTAGTCTCCGACTTACAATCACAATTGAGCCCAAAATTTCTCTTGCTAAGTGAAACATTTGTTAACTGAGTTTTGCCCCATTTTACAACCTTTTTTGCCACAGTTGTTAAGTGAATCTTTGCGGTTAAGTTAATAACACAGTTGTTGAGTAAATCTGGCTCTCCCATTGACTTTTCTTTTCAGAAGGTCACATAAAGGGATCACGTGACCCCAGGACACTGCAACCATCATAAATATGAGTCAGTTGCCAAGCGTCTGAATTTTGATCACATGACTACAGGGATGATGCAATGGTTGTAAGTGTGAAAAACGGTCATAAGTCACTGTTTTCAATGCCATTGAAACTGAGCAGTTACTTAATGAACTGTTATAAGTCAAGGGCTATCTGTACAGCTGGTTCAGCATTAGGCAGCCTGTTATGGACACACTAAGGTTTATCATCCAGTATCTCTTCTGGAGAGCCTGCATTGATTGCTGGTTAACTTTCACATGCAGTTGAAGGTATTGGTTGAGGCCTTAAAGCCATATATGGCTTAGAGGCTTGGTGTCTCTGAGGCAGCCTGTTGTGAGTGGAATCTGTCTACAGCATTTGGTAAGACCGGGGAAAGAAAGAATGTTAAGAGTGCTGAGATTAAGCCCACTTCAAGGGCCTGAATTTAGGCTGTCTTATTCTTTTGGAAAACCTTTCCATTGGAACTAGAGATTTTTCCTTCCCTGTTAAGCTTTTGAGGACTCTTGAAGATCTGGCTTTTCTGGAGATCATTTGGCATATGGATGAAATACTGAACAATGTCTTTTCTTTTTTGTTGAAACAGAATATCTTAAATGTTTCCTGATCCTTGCTTCTTGTTACAGGTAGTCCTCTACTTACAACAGTTCATTTAGTGACCGTTCAAAGTTACAATGGCACTGAAAAAGTGACATGACCATTTTTCACATTTATGATTGTTGTGGCATCTCCTCAAGGCCACATGATTGGATGCTTGGCAACTGACTCATGTTTATGATGGCTGCAGTGTCCTGGGGATCAAATCATCTTTTGGGGCCTTCTTGATAAGCAAAGTCAATGGAGAAGCCGGAATCCCTTAATAACCATGTTACTAACTTAACAGTTGAGTGATTCAACAACAACTGTGGCAAGGAAGATCATAGAATGGGGCAAAACTCACTTAACAAATGTCTCACTTAGCAACAGAAATGTTGGGCTCAATTTTGGTCATAATTTGAGGATTACCTGTATATTGTTTTAATATAGAACTGTAAGCCTCTTAGAAACTCCTGATTGGAGACCTTTTTCTCCCATGACTTTGCCTTTCTATCTTTCTTAGATTTTTCCTCCCCTTTTTATATTTTTGTGCATGTTACACTGCATGTTTCAGTAGCATAAGCAATAGCACACATGTTAGAGGCTTACAGAGGGACATTTTTATTTCCCATATTCCAAGTCATGTAAACATTAGAGTGTTAACTTTATATTGTGTATTAATTTTATATAATCAATTTTGCACAAATATCATAGTATTGAGGTAATAAATATACTGTATTAAGATTTGTAACAATAAAAGGGAAAAAGACATAGGATAGGAGCTACTTTAAAATTGCTGATTACCATCAAGGATTGTTCACCTGTGATTCTCATTTTGAAGATGTAATAAACTGAGATTGAAGTGAATTTATGTATAGCTCTCTCACTACATAGTTTGCTGATGTAATCTTAGGACAATGGCTTCCTTGAGAGTTACTGCTATCTCTCTGGTAAAACAGAATCTGTATTTGTATACAATTTCAGCAATAGTTTGATATCATCTTTGCATACTATAAGTTTAAATTCTTTTTAGAATTGAAAACTAATTCTTCTGTTAATTATATTTGAAAGATTCATAGGTACAAAATGCTTGGGTAATTATTTGAATACCTTATAACTCAGCTTTTAAACAACAATAATAGTTGATGAATTATATCTCAGAGTTGAATCAAACCCAAGGTAAATGCTCCTTTGAAATGGCTTTGCTAATATAGAATGCTGATCATCACAGGAATTTAAGCAGATCTACTGGTTTTTAGCCTTCCTCTCCCACCAATGACCCCCGTGATGTTTGGCATTGATGTCCCTGTCTGCATTGAGAGAAAAATGTCCATTGGTGCCAACGTGTTAACGTCTGTCTTTCTTCCTCACAGAGTGTGCAGACGTGGGAGTGCAAATACTTCTAAATGAATAATCAGAAGGAAGATATGGAGATTGCCTCCCATTATCATCATCTGCTTCAGGAACTCAATGAACAAAGGCAGCATGGTATCCTCTGTGATGTTTGTATTATAGTGGAAGGAAAGATTTTCAAGGCTCATAAAAATATTTTACTTGGGAGTAGTCGTTACTTCAAGACATTGTATTGCCAGGTGCAGAAGACCTCTGACCAAGCCACAGTCACTCATTTGGATATTGTAACGGCACAGGGCTTTAAAGCAATCATTGACTTCATGTACTCGGCACACCTTGCATTGACCAGCAGGAACGTTATTGAGGTGATGTCAGCTGCCAGCTATCTTCAAATGACTGAGATTGTGCAAGCTTGCCACAATTTCATAAAGGCTGCTCTTGACATAAGCATAAAGTCTGATGCATCGGATGATCTTATTGATTATGAGTTTGGGGCTTCCTCTAGCAGCAGTACGGATGCTCTGATTTCTGCTGTCGTGGCTGGTAGGAGCATATCTCCCTGGCTGGCTCGAAGGACAAGTCCGGCAAACTCTTCTGGAGATTCAGCTATTGCTAGCTGTCACGAAGGAGGAAGCACCTGTGGAAAAGAGGATCAAGAGCCAAAATCAGATAGTCACGATGACATGTCATCCCAGTCTCTTTGGTCGACTGATTTGGCCTATGGGACTTTGCGTGTCAAAGAAGAACAGATCTCTCCCGCTCATTATGGAGGGAATGAATTACAGTCTGCCAAAGATAGCGCAATGCAAAATGCTTTCTCAGAACAAGGAACTACAGATGGGTGGCAGCCGACAGGGCGTAGAAAGAATAGAAAAAATAAGGATACTGTGCGCCATATCACACAACAACTTGGAGAGGACAGCAGGACAACTTCACCAGTGCCACCCTTTCTAACTGCCCCTGGATGGCCATACAGTAATCAAGAAGCAAGTAAGAATGTTTAAGTCAAGTTCTGTGCAACTATATAATGCTCATGAATAATTGTTTATAATACATTAATTTTTTAAAAAACCAGAAGTTTTTAAATACTGTAGTTTTTATTAGAAGTTTACACATTTAACAAGACCATTCAAAGAAAAAGATAAATGTGAGAAAAGGAGATAGATAAAAGAAAATAAAAGAACAGAAAACATGAAAAAAAAATATAAATAAGTGATTTCTGATCTTCCTCTCACATTGTAACCAAACGTACCCTTCTAAAATTATATCATTATTCCCTTTTTTTCTATAATTTTTCTAATAAGTCATACAATATTTTTTTACACAAAACATCCATAAGGGGTCTCTAGTCATTGATGAATATCAATAACAATCTTTCTCCAGTCACGTTTTGTCAATTTTGTCATCAAGTACGCAGTTTCACCAACCCATTTCCTCCATGTGGGGTAGTCCTGGATATTTCCATCTTTATGCATAAAATAAGCTCGCCACGTAATCCTATATTGAAATACTCTTCCATGAATCTTTTGTAACTGTGTATCTATCAGTCCTGAAAGGAGATGTTCTGGCTTCATTTGAATGTTTATATTTATTCCATATTCCAAATATGGCATATCTAATAACATGATTTTTAAAATCCACGTTTAACTTTATTGTACCATAAACATCCATGCTATCTGAAGTTTAGTTCTTCTAACTCAAAAATATTTTGTTTTGTTCTTTCTTCCATATCAAACAACCAAAGCAATATAAAATTTCAAATTTGGTAGACCAATTCTTTTTCCTTTATTTTACTTATTTATTTGTATCCTGCTTTTATTATTTTTACAAATAACTCAAGGTGTCAAACATGCCCAACACACTTTCCTTCTCCTACTTTCCTCTTGGGCTGGGCAAGAGTGATTGGCCCAAAGTCACACATTTGGCTCTCATGGCTAAGGTTGGACTTATGCTCGCGGTCCTGCTTTCTCATGCTTTCTAGCCTGTTGCCTTAACCACTAGACCAAATTGTTCTTATAATATTTTATATTTCCATACAAATTTAGTTATATCTTTTTGCCATTGTTTGAAAATACATCAAGTGTCAAAACAGACACCATCTGAAACAAAAACATTGTTCATTTTTAATCACAGAAATTCTCCTCAACAGTGTCAGTTTTAATTTCTCCCATCTTACTTAACATGTCCTCCTTCATTTCATGTCTTTAACACAATTATGCCATTGCTTTCTTGGCTGTTGCTACTGCCTTTTGGAACATTCTCTTCCAAGAAGTGATATGGGCCCCCAGAAATGCCTAAAGACCTGGCTCTGCCCGCTGGTTTGGCACTCACGGGCCAAGGGGCTGGTTAGTACCCTGAAAGCCCACCCACCTTTTAATTAAATTTTAATCTTGAATTTTCTTTGCTTCTGTTTTAATATTTTACTTGTACATCATCCAGAAGCATTCTGTAAGGGAGCTGGGCGGTTTCTAAATTTAATAAATATCATACGATTCATATTTATTATAGTAGTGTATTTATTATTTTTTAAAATTTTATTTTTATTTGTCAATTGCTTACAAGATAATAAGTATAAGTAAAAACATAGTTATGAATACATGGATACATATAAGAAAAATATATATATAAAAGAAACAATAGAACAGGGACGGTAGGCACGTTGGTGCGCTTATGCACGCCCCCTACAGACTTCTTAGGAAAGGGGTGAGGTCAATAGTAGACAGTCTAACGTTAAAGTTTTTGGGGTTTGGGGAAAAAAACCAGAGTCAGGTAGAGTTACTAAGAGCCGCAGTGGCAAAGTGGTTAAAATGCAGTACTACAGGCTAGTTCTGCTGACTGCTGGCTGCCTGCAATTTGGCAGTTCAAATCTCATCAGGCTCCAGGTTGACTCAGCCTTCCATCCTTCTGAGGTGGGTAAAACGAGGACCCAGATTGTTGGGGGCAAGAGGCTGACTCTGTAAACTGCTTAGAGGACTGTAAAGCACTGTAAAGCAGTATATAAGTCTTTACTATTGCTATTAATAAAATTACTATCACTAATGTATCTCATTTTTAATCTTAAAATCTGATAGCATACCAAAGTCCTTAATTTTCCATTGATATTTTTGCTCCCTCTTAATAGAAGACAAGCTCAGGATTCAGAAAGATCTTGATAGACTTGAACAATGGGCCCTAGCCAAGAAAATGAAATTTAATGTGGAGAAAAGCAAGGTTTTACAAAGTACAGATTAGGCGAAACCTGGCTCAAAAATAGTAACTGAGACCTTGGAGTCTTAGTGGGCGATCACTTAAACATGAGCCAGCAGAGTGTGGTAGCAGTCAAAAAAGCTAATACAATCCTTGGTTGAATAAACAGAGGCATAGAATCAAAATCACTTGAAGTTATTAGGGCTATTTTATAAAGCCTTAATAAAGACACACCTGGAATACTGCATCCAGTTTTGGTAAGATTTGTCCTTGTTACTTCCATTTGCATTTAGCAAGAACTTTTAGAATTAAAACAAGCTCACAAAGGAAGAATAATTTCAATTTTGTATTCTTCTATCACCCACCATCAAATTGTACATTTTCTGCCATGGAACCCTTGCATGCCTTGTAGGCCTGGGGCAACATGCCAGCCAAGGAAGGTTATAGGTACAAAAGCAAGGATTTCTTCCAGCCAATGAAAATACAGTAATTTACTTAAGGAGTTTTTATATATATTATCATGCTTCAGGCAAGACACTGATGATTGCAAGATGCAAGTAGGTAAGAGTCTATGTATGATAAGATGATCTGGTTTGTGTACATATATTATTCTGATTTGTATGTTATTTAGCCCTGAAATCCATAACCATGTAACTGTCTGCACAGAAACATTTAAGAAAAATAGAGCTCAAATTAAGAAATACTTGAAGAGCACAATTCATTTCTAAAATATGAGGGAGACCAAGATCCCAGATCCCCTCCTGGGATCTGGATCCTGTGGGGATGGATATGGATATACCTTGGCCCATGTTAAGTTTCAGTATTGAGAAAGAAGAAACATTTATAGCCAACCAGTTGCTTATTTTATTTATGTGTGCAATTTATATAAGCCTCAGTCCTCAAGGCAGTTTACAGACATTATAGATATTTGGAAGTGACCCCATTTTTTTCTCATCACTAAGGCAGGGGGAAAAGGGGTGTGTCTTGGATTCAGTCTTAAATGGAAAATCCTCCGTTTTATATTTGAACGGCCAGCCAAAGTTTTTCAACTACTAAAACAGCAGTAATATTAAGATACTTTGAACATAGGAAATCACATGGTATATAAACTGAGGAGCACCTCTGAAAATATTGTACTGATTCTTGAAGACTACTTTTTCACAATTTAATATATGTATATTACTCTCATAACTTTCTACAACTTTGATGTATTTGAGAAATGTGTAGGTTAAATGTTATACTGTATTCATGTAACATCAATAATAGGTTTGAAATGTATGTGTTACCAATATCAGGATTATTTTTGGCATTTCTGACCACTTACTGTAAGTCATTCTTCCAATTTGAAGTCTAAACAGATGAAGGCAGTCTTTTTGGTAGCTGTCCAAAAGTGCATGTTGGCAGTAATGAACAACTTGGGTTTTAAATGATGAATGAGCCAACACTTCTGACATAGTGAAAACAATATCCTGGGCATTCACCATCTTGTAGTAAAGCTTTAAGTATATGATTTCATTTTAATAGCTCCATTTGTTCCAAATTTATTATCTAATTATGATGGAAATGTCAGTCTTCCATTACAGACCGTTTCCTAGAGGAGGCTCCTTTTGGATAGGGTCTATGCATACTATCAGGGGAGAAGTCCTAGGTTTGCCAAGGGAAGAATCTTACCAAATGGTATTGTTTTGAAAGAAAGAGATAATTTTTCCCTGCCATCATAATAAAAAAAATTTTTATGTCTTTTTCCACACAACTTCGCATTTCATTAAAAAGAGGATATATAGTGTATTTTTTAAATCTGATTATTTGAAGACTCAAATACAATAGTGTTTTAGTGTTGCTTCATTTAGCCTAAGATATGGGTAACAGTAATGCAAAGAATTGTTTTTATCATATCAAATGCTGTACTGTCCCTCCAAAAAAAGGAAAAGAAAAAAGAAAAAGCCAGATCTGCAACACACTGGTTTTATTGTTATCCAAGTTAGACCAATGTAACGTGCACTAGTGTGGCCAATGATTTCTTTTTAAAAAGTATTTGGAAATGTAATTAATACTGCCCTGGAATATTATCCAGAATACATATCCATGGAGCATATAATTAATTTTTATGTTATCTTTATTGCTCCCTATAGAGTTTTTGGTGCTCTCTGAGTGTGATTGTTTGCTCGATTTCTTTACCCAAATAGTGCTGATCACTGATGGCAGAATCGCTTATTGGGTTGCTATTTCTTTGTACTATCAATGAAAACTTTTTGCATATTTATTTTATTTTCATCTCTAATACATTTAATACATTTTCTGTGATTGAAAAAGAAAGGAAGAGGTACTGGGAAGCAGCAGTATGACCAATCAAAGACACTTTGATTCCTTCCTCCCCTGCTCTTTTGCCAGGTTCTATGAATAAGGCAGAGCAGAACTATTGCAGAATAAAATCTGATCTACTCCCAAATGATGTTTGGATTTTACAGTCCTGTTTAGTTGAAATCAATGTAAGGATCATCTTTGGAAGTCCTTCTTTTAGTCCCTAGTTGTATGCAGTGGAAAGCAATTCTCAAGCAGGATCTTGACAAGGAAACTTCTGCCTGAAAATGGTCATTTTTGATTTCCATCTCCTGTGAAGAAAATTTAGAGAGTAAGAAATGTGTGCTATATTAGAGGGCATTTGGGACAAAAAAGCTGATTCTTTCTGGCTAAATTTCATTTCTATTTAATTACTGCTAGTGCAATAGTATTTTATTAAATGAAAACGTTGTATATCTTCTGTGAATAGGAAGCAATAATAAAATACCCGGGGAGATACTGGA